ATCAAAAGAAAACAGCCTTTTAATAGAGAAACGTCTTGTTAGCAGCAAACAAAAAGAAAAATTACAAAACTCTTGAGAAATAAACAGCAGGATCGTATGTTTGATCACTGCTATTGCGTGGGATCTTGCCTGGTCGCCGAAGAGCGCGCTTTGACTCGTAGGACGCACCAAAGTCAGCAGATTCTGATTGAAAACCAGTAGGAGGGGTTTATGATTCTGACTCTTTGTTTATCGAAGTGGAGAAAGTGTAAAACGATATCTTATCAGATGTAAGATAGTCGTTCTTCTGAAATCAAATCAAAGCTCATTATCAAAGGATTGGCGCGTAAGATCAGCAGCCTCTGGCTCTCCATCCTCTGGCTCCTGGTTGCTCTGGATTGACTCTGAGTACTCACGAATGATCAGACCTTGGAATCATCATCTGGCCCCGAATCCCACTTAACTGAAAATGGCCTTGCGGGGTAATTATAACCCTCTGGAAATGAGACAGTGGCTACGCGAGACACGCATTGCTGTCTCGGCGGGCGAGACAGATTGCTCGCTGCGCTGGGCGAGACAAGTGTTTGCTGTCTCGACCCCGAAGCCCAGAAAATGAGCTGTACTCGGGAAAACACACCCGGCAAGGCAGTTTCAGTTTTAAACTGCCTCCGACGTTTCAAAACTCCGTCACTTTATTGGACCATTAGTCCAACGTGATTCATCAGCGCCACCGCGACGTTCCGCACGTTCTTGAACCAAGTTTTTAAGTGCACGTGTAGGGCAGGTTAGCAAAAAGCGGATTTTGAAGCGCAATCTGAAAAACTAACTCACGTGCGAGAGAGACGTACAATTCTAGTCTCGCACGGCGAGACAGCAAAGACTGTCTCGCGTGGGCGAACGGACAAGCAAAGCTAGTCTCGCGGAGGGCACAGACAGTAAAAAGTCTTAACTCGCACCGCAGAGAGACAAGTAAAGTACTGCTCCACAGGGCGAGAACACCGGTAAAGCTAGTCTCGCAGCGGGACGAGACAGGTCAAGTCTGTCTCGCACGCGACGGAGACAAGTCAAGACTTGTAGTCTTTTGCGGCCTGGGTTTGGATGATTTCCTCTTGAGCTGTATTTGGATATCTTCAGCATATTTTTGACGGCTAGCGGAGATACCCCCTCCAAAGTATTCCAAGGACTCAATGCTTTTTTATATGAGTAGTTCTGGGATGCTTTTGGATAAGAATATGGTCTTACTTATGATCGCTTCCTCAATGCTTGGTTTGAGAGTAGATTCGTGTAGAGGAAACGCGCCGTCAAGGTGGGGTTGGCAACATTTTGATCTCTTTGTCTCGTCATCTATTCAGTGGGCTTTGTAGAATAGTTAAGGGATTCTTCGAACGCGGCATCGCGTATCGCTTGTCGCAATTGTAGAGATCTTAGAATAAAGCTGGAACTATGAATCTTGTGAAATCAGGCATCATTGTCGTCGATGATTGATTATGGCAATATACCCGGTTTAGGTTAGTGCAGGTTATTCTCGAGAAATAATTTTAACCTGATATTCTCGCTCACAAGAACTTCCTGTGAGGGTAAAGGGAAACAGTTTAGACTCGTGTACCTATTGGAAGTATTCAGGTATTCTATAGAAATAAAATTCTCAGAAGTAATATTCTCATAGAAACTTCCTGTTGATAGATAGGCGAAACAGTTAAAACGTCGTGACCTATTGGAGTAATATGGTCTCTTATTTGTATGGTAAGAGATGAAAACCCCGATGTATGGAGAAGGAAGAATTTTATATTCCTACATCGCGTAGGTCCGTTGTTTGTTGGTAGAAGATGAACCCAGAATCAGAGAGGTAAGAATTTATATATCTATCTAAGCGCTGGATCTCGGATGTTTGTTGGTAAGATGAACCCAAGAATCGCAGAGGAAAAATTATATTCTATCTCCTGGTCTCTGATTTGTTTGTAGAGATGAACCCGAAAGTCGGAGAGGAAGGAATGGTTTATATTCTACTTTCTCCTGTGCAAAGGAAGAATGCTGGACTGGTTTGAAATATCCTAACTGTCATAAGGTTTGACTATTCAACTTTGAGAATGGACCTCTCGTTCGTGAGATGAATCGACGAAGAGATTTTGGTTGTGGTCCTCAACTGTAGTACAGGTTTGACAGCAAGTGGAGCAGTTTGATAGGCGATCCATACACTGTTAAATGGTTTGAATCGATCAACTTGAATGGAACCGTCGTCGTTCAATGTAGGAAGGAAATCGAGAAGGGAATTTGGGCTTTGGTCTAAAATTTTGACGCTAAGATGGGAAGGTTAAGAAACGAACCTACTGTTTAAAGGTTTGATCGTATCAAATTTGTTGGACCTCTCGTTCATAGGGGAAAGAATCGAGAGAAGATTTTGGAGCTTTGATCCTAACTGTTAAAGGTTTGACCAAATGGGAAAATTTTGTGAGGGAAAAGATAGATCTAAAAGAGGTGATGCGAAATCTCCATCTAAGGCAAAAGAGTATTCAGAAAAGTCAGTAGGAGAGTTTAGTGTTTAATCTCACTTGTTCATAATGATTCGGGTTAATCCTAAAAATTACATTTAACAATTCTTACTCGCGGGAACTTCCCGTTACATGAAATTACCACAACCCCGAGTGAATTTATTGTAATCGACCGAAGATATAATGAATTCGACAACAAATTCGACTTTTGGCGAAAACATACGGGACTAAGTGCTACAGTGCTTGATGCGGTGGGAGCCACCTCTAGAACCCGTAGGAGTCACCTCTTGCCAATTGTCATGTCGTGATGACGATGACGTCGTCTTTGTAAGGTGATTGTGACACCCTCACTTTATTCTCATATGGACTAGCGTGAAGAGATGTTAATGGTTTA